CTAGCGACCCCCTCCCTGCACCCTGAGCTACCCCCGGTCTGCCCATAGCCCCTAGCGACCCCCTCCCTGCACCCTGAGCTACCCCGTCCACACACAGCCCCTAGCAACCCCCTCCCTGCACCGTGAGCAGTTTTCAAACCTTTTGAGCTGAACCCCCACCACGCACAGCCCAGGCTTGGTGGCCTGCTGAGGTGAGTCAGGGGGTGACAGTGGTGCTGCCTCCCTGGACCCTGCTGTGCAGAGCTGGCCCAAGCCCCACCGGCCCCTGCCCCCCCAAAATAGAAGTCAAACTATGCCTATGCCTGAGGGCCCACCCCCGGCCTGAAGCTCTGAGTCCCCTCCTCCCCCACTGGGCCCTGGAGTTTTTAAGAGCACATTGAGGAGGGTCTCACAGCAAAAGTCTAGAGCAGAGGTTCGCAATCCAAGTATAGTAGCCTCAGGGCCCCCCTTGAAACAAGACATTGGCCGTGTGCATCTGTGCGCCAGGAGCTGGGCAGCTGCCCTGAGCACTCGTGCCAGGCTGGAGTCACTGGACCTGCCGTCCCCGTAAAACAGCAGCGTGCAAGTCACGGCAGAGCACTGCTGATTGGCTGACATGGCTCCTGGCACGGTCAGAACTGGAGTCAGGGCCAGTTCGATGCGTTAATAACTTAAAATTCAACTAAGCAACTTCCTTCCCCTGGCTGGAAGTTTTGCTGAGCTGCAGCTCCAAGGACTAGCACCGAGGAACGGGCTCCGGCAGGACTGCTCTGGTCAGCAGAACAGGAGGAAAGCACCTCCTCACGGGGTTCCCTTTGAATGAGCTCCCTGCGCCCTCGAGTTTCAACAGGGTCACCCTTTGGTCCATGGCAGAAAGATCTGCCTTGTTCCAGCCAAGCATCTGTGAGCTACTAGGAATGCTGCTAACACGCTCCCATGCCCTATAGCCCAGTGGGTCTCAAACTTTTGTCCTGGTGTCCCCTTTCACGCAGCAAACCCCTGAGTGTGATCCTCCTTATCAATTAAAAACACTTTTTATATATTTAACACCATTATAAATCCTGGAAGCAAAGCGGGGCTTGGGGTGCAGGCTGACACCTCGTGACCCCCTCAGGGGTCCCAACCTCCAGTTTGAGAGCCCCTGGTAACTACAGATTAAATGCACTTTGATTTATGCCAGTGGTTTTCAAACATTTTAGGCTGCATACGCCTTTCCAAATAACACAGTCTACTGCATATGACCTCTCTCTTCATAGGTACAAGTCTTACTAAAGAAAATGTGGTGTTCCCCATTACAGGATTTTTCTTGTATACCCCCTGGCCAGAGCTCATGTACCCCGGTTTGAAAACCACTGGTTTATGCTGTCCCCAGTTCTCAGTGGGGCTCCCCTTTCCACCCAAAGAGTGACTGTGTAGGAAGCAGAAGACAGGGGAAAGTTGGAGGGTGTGTGACAAAGGAGGCAAGCTCAGGGTTTGGGCCGGCACTACAGTTCCTGTTTTTCTCCCCTTTGGGCCAGGGGAATCTGTTCCTTTCCTCACCTGTCATCCCTCACTCCTTCTCAGCACCAGCTGCAGAACCTCTGCGCTGCAGGTGTGGAACCAGGGGGCTCTGAAGTCAGCTCTGGAGGTCCGGCCTGGTGATCTTTCC